GACACATCTGGGGGAATGTCTACAAAATCTAGCAGTATGTTGAAAACGTTGGCAGCGCTTACATTGTGGTATGTCGAGGTTTTTCATTGTTGCCTCGACACGCACAATGAAGTTGCCAATATTTTTAATTTGAAAAATTCTCTCATTATTAGGTGTGTTTAATAAATTAACGAAGAAGGCGTTTGGAGAATATTTAGCTGCTGGATCAGACTTCCTTTTATCAATAAAGGTGGGATTGTGAACTCCCACAATGTCAAAGCCTTCGGCTGTAAGGGAACTTTTAATGAAATCGGTATTAGTGGCACGAGGCAATCCTCTGATGTAAACCCGAAGGGGCCTAAGCTCTTTCGGCTGATGAGTGTGGTAACAGAAGTTATTTATGTCCAGGAAGTGAATAATTGCCCTATAATCTTCAGGGATTTTGGCATGTATCCAAATATTACCTGAAGTGCCCATTTTTAAAAAGAATTGGGACGGTGATACTGTTTCAGACAAAGCGACTAAAAAAGCAGTGGCATCCTCACATTCTGCTTGAATGGGAGGGGGTTTTCCAGTGAAAATAATGGGAGAATTTGGCTTACCCTGGGTTTCCAAGTCACCAGACTGCAAGGGAACGGGCTCGGCAACAACATTCTGGTTGGTATTTTGTTGGTTCGGCGGTGAAGCGGGAAGAGCACTCGCGCCTTCCATACATAAGGAGTCACTGTCGATCTCCTCCTCGTTGGAATCCAGTTCGATAAGATCAGATCTGGAAAGATCCTGAACATCGGGTCTTAAATTGTCATGCTGGGCAGCCCTTGCCGAAGCAGAGGTGCTTCGTACAGCAGCACTAGAACGAATTCTCCTTGATTTAGGCGATGTGTGGGATGCAGTAGTACGCTTGTATAGCGATGCCGTACTGCTTCCTGAATTTGCCGCCTCAGCAACTGTTGGATTGTACGGTTGTACAGGTGCATGGAATTCACCCGAACGACGCACAACAGTAGTAGTATTTATAATGGGGCGAAAACTCGTTTTGGGAGTAGAATTCGCAGGTTCGTTTTTCCCAGTGGCCTCCTTAGAAGAAGATGAGTTTGGAGAGCCCTTTGCGGGACGCAAGAGCACATTAGAAGTCACCAGAGCGGACCCCTTGGGGCTTCTCTTGGGCTTTGGAGTGGTTGAATTAGATTTATCTTGATTCATGTTAAATAAATAAAGAAAAATTATGAACTTTAGTGTTTTGAGTCGAGTTATTCGTGGTAATAAAATAAAATTGCAAAAGCAAAAACTGACCAGAATTTACATCGAGGCACAAATCCAGCGTCAAAAAGTCACCCGCGCAAGACGAAAAATCCAAAACCGAGCTCGAGCACGCGCAGAAATATGGTCGCTGCAGCAAGAAACACCAGACACAGTCCTCGAGGAGGAAAATACCTCAATACTCACAAACTGCAGCAGCCAAAAATCGTCGCAGCCAGAAAAAACCAGGCAGAAGATAATCCAAATACGCAAGCAACCAACGCACAAAAACGGCCAAATGCAAATTATTTTTATTCAAAACTGTGAAAAAATCAATGAAAAAGAATGATGAATAAGATAAATCGGACCAAATGAAGGTCAAGGTCAAGACGGATATGAGTCAAGACAAGCAAAGGTCAGGACAAATAAAGGTCAAGACACTTGAAGGTCAAAATGGCGGTGCAGTACAGTCACGCGGCACACGCCCACGTAGTCCTACCAACACTAGCGAAATACCGCTGAAAAAGGGACACGTGGCCAACTTAGACGGCCAACAGCGTGGACAGGCAGCTCAAACAGCTAACACCTCCAGCCGCCGCGACCAACCAGATAGACACGGTCCCCACAAAAACGATATGACACCAGGCGCGCAAGATCACTGGGAATGGAAAACGCGGCACTACACGACCGATACAACAGAATAATTTCTGACAAAATTTAATTTGTTTTTTAATTTTTTATGAACGCAGCGAAAAAAACACATGCATGTCAGTTTAAACGAATAACCCGACTGAAGGTTGAGGCAAAATTCCTAGGCTATAAAACTGGATGCTGGGTGTACCAGTGGAAAATTGCCGTTTTAGAATAAAGCTCATTGAGCGAAAAGCTCAGAAACAGACTCACTCAAATTGAGTCATACTGAATGAGTAGCAGCTTAGTAAGGCTTGGAACGATTTTGATTCTCTGAGTAAAGAAACAGGAGAAACATTATAAAGAAAGATAAAAAGGGGAAGGAGAGCATAAATGTTAATTAACAGTGATAGACAAAATACAGACCCAGGAAAAAATGTTTGGTTTGAGCAGCAGTGGCAAAAAGCGCTCAATTATATCGCTGATCGAGGCAGCATATTAGAGCACAAGTCAGCACGACCGCCCACAGTGGTAGAGAATGGCCAAGGGGGATCCAGAATCCAGCTGTATATAAAGTAAAATAAATTACCATACACGGATCTGGGTCCCCCTTAGCACTAAAATGACCTCCAAGATGGCCATAGAGCAAATTTAATTAATCTGATTTAATATAACAATTTGGTATGAGAAATGTAATATAAATTCCAATATTTAAAGTTAAATAATAGGGAAAAATCAGTTAGTTTATGAAAAATTGGTTACATGTTGCTCTTATGAATCGTTGGAAATCAGTCAAAAATGTTCTTATTAGATTTACTGGTATATGATTCAAGTAAGAAAAATTTCCGACACAGACAAGCTGCTCGCCGAAAAACATTGACAGTAAAATCGCAGCATAATAATAAGAAGAACATTTAGACAAAACAGAACGTATAGCTAATAGCAGGTAATTGTTAGAAAAGTTCCCGACTAGGACATATCGTGCACAGTTAATATGCCAGTCCAGGAACATAAACCACAATAAAATAGCATATTAGCCAACGAAGAAATAGGTACAAAAGGGGGGGTGAAGAATTTTTACAGCTGATATGCTGCCGTGCTGCACAAGCGCATGACGCGTATGGCCGAAATGACGTCGGCAGTGCACGGGACGCATAAGAGTAAGCAGGGCAGCAATATGATATAATTCAAAGCAAAAGAAAAAGCTAAACGGCAGTTAAAATTAGAATTTGTATTGTGCAATTGCGAGAAATTTATTGTATGAAAAAGAGAGTCAATAAGAGGAGACGATAAATAAATAGAAATTTAATTGAAAAATAAACTGAATTATTTGAATCAGAGATTACAAAGTTATTTATAAAATATTAGCCGAAGCATGAAAAAAGAAAAAATATAAGCCCTTGCTTATAATTGTGAGAGGAGAGCGACGATACAATGATGAGGAGGACAGAGATAGAGCACCCAGAGAGAATCAACTGAGAGCGGACGTATAAGAGATTCAAAAGCTTATGAAAAGGGGAACGACCTACACAAGCGTGTGTGAAGGAAGTTTCTTTTGCTTAATATCAGCATTATGAATTAGGGCAGGTCAGTATGCGCTGTGTGTACAAAGCATATGAACGCATAGCGCATGTAAACAAATGTTTATGAGCACAGTATTATTGTGCAATATGAAAGATGAATTTCCAGCATACTTTGTGCAGTAGCTGATTTAGTTTTAATAGTAGCATGTAGTAATAAGAAAAGGCAAAATACATAATTTAATATGTTTTGATTAAGTAGGAATAAGTATGAAAATGAATAATAAGTAAGGAGGAGATTTTGTTTAATAACAAATAATTATTAGAAAATTTTTTATAAATGGAACCTATCGTGCACAGTTAAGATGCAGTGCAGGAAGGAAATCCACAATAATAATATAATATAAGCTAATGAATAAATACGTACAAAAGGGGGGGTGAAGAATTTACAGCTGATATGCTGCCGTGCTGCACACGAGCATGACGCGCTAGGCCGAAATGACGTCGGCAGTGCACGGGACGCATAAGAGTAAGCAGGGCAGCAATATAAATTAATTCAAAACAAAAGGAAAAAGCTAAGCAGCGAGACTAATAATAGCATTTGTATTGTGCATTTGTATTGTGATTGCGAAAAAATTTAATGTATGGAAAAGAAAGTTAATAAATGAAGACGATAATTATTTAGAATTTAATTAAAGGTAAATTGAATTATTAGAATTAAAAAATTACAGTGTTTTGGTAAAATAATAGCCGAAGCATGAACAAAGAAAAATAAAAGCCCTGGCTTATAATGGTGAAAGGAGAGCAACAATACATTAATGAGGAGGACAGAAACAGAGCACCCAGAGAGAATCAACTGAGAGCGGGCATAAGAGATTCAAAAGCGTATGAAAAGGGGAACGACCTACACAAGCGTGTGTGAAGGAAGTTTCTTTTGCTTGTAGATCAGCATTGTGAAATTAGGGCAGGTCAGTATGCGCTGTGTGTGCGCTGTGTGTGCATGGTGTGAATAGTTATAGCGCATGTATAAAAAGGTACTGGGCGTAGTGTTGCGGTGCAACATGGATACTACTAAGACCAGCATACTTTGTGTAGTAGCTGGTTTAGTTATAGTAGTAGCATATTGTAGGTGAAGGGCAATATACATATATTAATATGATTTGATTAAATATATTTACTAAGAGGAGTAAATGATGAATTTAAGTGTGAATAGAACAAAAAATTTTTTATAAATGAAATATAAGTAAGAAAAAATTTGTGTACAAGGTAGAAAATAAGAATGACTGCCAGATTGTGAAATATCAATATGAGAATCTTATTATTAATGAGAGAGAGTTCTATGACTCAAAGTTTGCAACGAATGCAGTTAGCATTCCAAATTGACAATCTGATTAGTTTATTCGTTGGAATTATTTAAAGAAAAAACGAGCTGCTCCATCCTTGTAAGGGAGGCCGTTAATTGTGTTTGAAAAGAAGCTATTTGGAGTTGCATATTTTGAAAGCTGTCTGAAACAAAAATCCTGAATTCTGAGTCAGGGAGATTTAGTAAATTGGAAGTGTAAGAAGAAATTTGTAGGGCGTCATTTCGATTTTTTTTTTTTTTATATATATATATTTTATTGTGGCGCACATAGCCAGAAAATGGGTACAACTTTACTTAAACTAAACTTAGAACTAATCCCAAATCCAGCCGGTAGTGCAGTCAAAGGAGGTGACGACAACAAAATTACTGTCTTGATCCTTCCCGTTTGAAAGAGTGGAGGGAATGCGGTGAAAAGCCGAAGCGAGTAGGTGAGGCACCCCCTCCCTCAAGGGGGTACCAGGAGTAGATGTTGTGGTGTGGCTGTTGTGTTTTATAAGTACATAAATTAAATCTAAGTGTAATTTATTCTACTGAGAAATAACAAACAATGTGTAAAAGTAATAAGAAATGTGATGAAAAGTGGAGTTGTAACATTAATAATAAGAAAAATTAAGAATTTGAATTCAAGTTGTAAATTATAAAGAGTTTACAAAATAAAGTGATATATGATTTATAACAATATATTCAAAGTTTCTTTTTCAAAATTGAAGTTTAAAAAATTTATGATAAATTCATTTTGAGTAGCATAAACTATGAACTAAACATTATGGTGAGCTTAAAAGTATGACAATAGTAATCTTAAATAGTAACATAAGTATGAATAGTGTAGTTGTAAGTGTTGCTGCTGTGAAGATCCAGTAGTACCAAGGGAAGCGCTTTTGCAGCAGACGTGGGTGCAGCAAAACGGATCCCAAAAACGAGCATGAAGATGCGCACCAGTGGGGTGCCAAATGATGATGCCAGCCGAGAGAAAACCAAGGTGCAAATCCAGATGGACCATGATGGCAGCAGCGATAAAAAAGAAGTAATTAGTTATATTGTTGAATGTATAGGTATAAGGTGCCGTGAATGATGAAGTGTGAATAGTGGTGTGTGTGGGTGGTGTGTGAGGGTGGTGTATGTGGTTGGTGTGTGTGGGTGGTGTGTAGCGATGAATATGTAGCCATGTATAGGGGCGATGAATGCAGTAAAAATGTGTATAGATGAAGTTTAAAGTATGATGTGGTGTGTAAGTTGAAATCCATAACCAGTGTGTATTTCCGAATTTATGTTGAAATGCATCTGTCTTTGTTGATTTAGTATTTAATAGGTTAATTGTATTGCAGTATGTTATAAGGAATTCTAATATTTATGAAATGTGTTATTATGAATTATGGGCTATGTATTAATAAATTATAGTGTGAAAAACAAGAGTTATTTGGCTTAATGTTGGAATTAAAAATGATTACTGATATTTGATAAATGATATTGAATGAAAGTAGTATGTAATAGTTGCGTGTATGTGTATTATAATTTATAAAATTTTTTATATGTGTGATTTATGTGAAAGTGGTTTTAATAAGTTTATATTTACGTTGCAGGAACAGTATCTTATCAGAAGAGTATGTTGAATCCAAGGCCTATTTGATACCAGACATCATTGCAATTAGAGCATGTATGAATCCTATACAAGGAGTGTGATAGTCCATAAAGCCAAGAGAGACAGGACGGCGATTTAAAAGATTCCAGGATCGGAAGGTCCAGAGACGTCGTTGCATTCGAAAGCAGCACGCAAATCCAGCACGAGAACGTAGCAAAATCCGGGCAGCAAGCGAGCATAAAAGCATCATGTCGGGAGACGAGCGGGTACCAGTCCATAATCCAGAGCCAGACATAGGTTGGGCCAATCCATAGCGAGGTAGTTTACCGGCAGTAATTATACAAAATAATTAGTTAGGTGTAAAATAGGAAGTATAGGTGATGGTGAGAAGACGGCATGGTAGTAATAAGTGTGGTGGTAAAGATGAATATGCGTTGTATACTGGTATGATGGTGCGTCATATAATTAAATTTGTTGTATTATTTGATAATTAAATGAAATAATTTGTTATATTGATAGTTTCTAAAAGATTTATGTTATAATATATGAATAGTAATTTATGGCCTGAACGGCGTTTGTGAATTAGTTGCCCATTTGGGCTTTTGTAAACATGATAGAAGTAAGTGTGGTGGTAAAGATGAGTGTGCGTTGTTTACTAATATGATGATATGATGTATGATTAATTATGTGTATTATTTGATAATTTAAATGAAATAAATTGTTATATTGAATGTTCTAAAAAATGTATGTTATAATATTTAAGTAGTAATTTATGGCCTGAACGGCGTTTATGAATTAGTTGCCCACTTGGGCTTTTGTAAATAAATGTAATGCATTAAATAAGCCAGATTAATTAGTGAATTATAAAATAAAATAGAAAGTTATATAGCCAGTTACTTATTTAAATGTGTGTTGTATTAGGATTTATATTATTTATATAATGTGATGTAAATGTAATGAATTTGTTATGTGAATTGTATTAAATAAATGAATTTTGACAGTAATGAAGCGTTGTATATTTACTCTGCATTATCATAGAGTTTATGGAGATAGCATCACACATTGATTAGCTCATTTCCACTACATGACGTGTTCAGGCAGACGATCAATATATATATAAAAAGTGTCCCGCGTTGCGGCACAATCCAGCAGCAAGGTTCCCCACAAGAAAGCATAGGTGGTCGGAATTTGATGTGAATTAAATACTCCAGGGCGCAGATTTATATAAAAGCAGTGACAGCAGGCAGAAAAAGGCCTCAAAACATGAGAGGTGTGCAGCAAAGTTCTTTATTTGGATCCTGAGAAATCGGATTCATTAATATAGTGTTAGTATAAGAGGAGATATATTACCAATTTGACTGGAGGTGTGGGTCAGTGCAGAGCCACGCACACACACCCACGTATTCCCACCAGCACTAGCGAAATACCGCTGAAAGAAGGGCCCGTGTCCAACTTAGACGGCCAACAGCGTGGACAGGCAGCTGAAGCAGCTAACACCTCCAGCCGCCGCGACCAACCAGATAGACACGGTCCCCACAAAAACGATATGACACCAGGCGCGCAAGATCACTGGGAATGGAAAACGCGGCACTACACGACCGATACAACAGAATAATTTCTGACAAAATTTAATTTGTTTTTTAATTTTTTATGAACGCAGCGAAAAAACACATGCATGTCAGTTTAAACGAATAACCCGACTGAAGGTTGAGGCAAAATTCCTAGGCTATAAAACTGGATGCTGGGTGTACCAGTGGAAAATTGCCGTTTTAGAATAAAGCTCATTGAGCGAAAAGCTCAGAAACAGACTCACTCAAATTGAGTCATACTGAATGAGTAGCAGCTTAGTAAGGCTTGGAACGATTTTGATTCTCTGAGTAAAGAAACAGGAGAAACATTATAAAGAAAGATAAAAAGGGGAAGGAGAGCATAAATGTTAATTAACAGTGATAGACAAAATACAGACCCAGGAAAAAATGTTTGGTTTGAGCAGCAGTGGCAAAAAGCGCTCAATTATATCGCTGATCGAGGCAGCATATTAGAGCACAAGTCAGCACGACCGCCCACAGTGGTAGAGAATGGCCAAGGGGGATCCAGAATCCAGCTGTATATAAAGTAAAATAAATTACCATACACGGATCTGGGTCCCCCTTAGCACTAAAATGACCTCCAAGATGGCCATAGAGCAAATTTAATTAATCTGATTTAATATAACAATTTGGTATGAGAAATGTAATATAAATTCCAATATTTAAAGTTAAATAATAGGGAAAAATCAGTTAGTTTATGAAAAATTGGTTACATGTTGCTCTTATGAATCGTTGGAAATCAGTCAAAAATGTTCTTATTAGATTTACTGGTATATGATTCAAGTAAGAAAAATTTCCGACACAGACAAGCTGCTCGCCGAAAAACATTGACAGTAAAATCGCAGCATAATAATAAGAAGAACATTTAGACAAAACAGAACGTATAGCTAATAGCAGGTAATTGTTAGAAAAGTTCCCGACTAGGACATATCGTGCACAGTTAATATGCCAGTCCAGGAACATAAACCACAATAAAATAGCATATTAGCCAACGAAGAAATAGGTACAAAAGGGGGGGTGAAGAATTTTTACAGCTGATATGCTGCCGTGCTGCACAAGCGCATGACGCGTATGGCCGAAATGACGTCGGCAGTGCACGGGACGCATAAGAGTAAGCAGGGCAGCAATATGATATAATTCAAAGCAAAAGAAAAAGCTAAACGGCAGTTAAAATTAGAATTTGTATTGTGCAATTGCGAGAAATTTATTGTATGAAAAAGAGAGTCAATAAGAGGAGACGATAAATAAATAGAAATTTAATTGAAAAATAAACTGAATTATTTGAATCAGAGATTACAAAGTTATTTATAAAATATTAGCCGAAGCATGAAAAAAGAAAAAATATAAGCCCTTGCTTATAATTGTGAGAGGAGAGCGACGATACAATGATGAGGAGGACAGAGATAGAGCACCCAGAGAGAATCAACTGAGAGCGGACGTATAAGAGATTCAAAAGCTTATGAAAAGGGGAACGACCTACACAAGCGTGTGTGAAGGAAGTTTCTTTTGCTTAATATCAGCATTATGAATTAGGGCAGGTCAGTATGCGCTGTGTGTACAAAGCATATGAACGCATAGCGCATGTAAACAAATGTTTATGAGCACAGTATTATTGTGCAATATGAAAGATGAATTTCCAGCATACTTTGTGCAGTAGCTGATTTAGTTTTAATAGTAGCATGTAGTAATAAGAAAAGGCAAAATACATAATTTAATATGTTTTGATTAAGTAGGAATAAGTATGAAAATGAATAATAAGTAAGGAGGAGATTTTGTTTAATAACAAATAATTATTAGAAAATTTTTTATAAATGGAACCTATCGTGCACAGTTAAGATGCAGTGCAGGAAGGAAATCCACAATAATAATATAATATAAGCTAATGAATAAATACGTACAAAAGGGGGGGTGAAGAATTTACAGCTGATATGCTGCCGTGCTGCACACGAGCATGACGCGCTAGGCCGAAATGACGTCGGCAGTGCACGGGACGCATAAGAGTAAGCAGGGCAGCAATATAAATTAATTCAAAACAAAAGGAAAAAGCTAAGCAGCGAGACTAATAATAGCATTTGTATTGTGCATTTGTATTGTGATTGCGAAAAAATTTAATGTATGGAAAAGAAAGTTAATAAATGAAGACGATAATTATTTAGAATTTAATTAAAGGTAAATTGAATTATTAGAATTAAAAAATTACAGTGTTTTGGTAAAATAATAGCCGAAGCATGAACAAAGAAAAATAAAAGCCCTGGCTTATAATGGTGAAAGGAGAGCAACAATACATTAATGAGGAGGACAGAAACAGAGCACCCAGAGAGAATCAACTGAGAGCGGGCATAAGAGATTCAAAAGCGTATGAAAAGGGGAACGACCTACACAAGCGTGTGTGAAGTTTTTTTTATATATATATATTTTATTGTGGCGCACATAGCCAGAAAATGGGTACAACTTTACTTAAACTAAACTTAGAACTAATCCCAAATCCAGCCGGTAGTGCAGTCAAAGGAGGTGACGACAACAAAATTACTGTCTTGATCCTTCCCGTTTGAAAGAGTGGAGGGAATGCGGTGAAAAGCCGAAGCGAGTAGGTGAGGCACCCCCTCCCTCAAGGGGGTACCAGGAGTAGATGTTGTGGTGTGGCTGTTGTGTTTTATAAGTACATAAATTAAATCTAAGTGTAATTTATTCTACTGAGAAATAACAAACAATGTGTAAAAGTAATAAGAAATGTGATGAAAAGTGGAGTTGTAACATTAATAATAAGAAAAATTAAGAATTTGAATTCAAGTTGTAAATTATAAAGAGTTTACAAAATAAAGTGATATATGATTTATAACAATATATTCAAAGTTTCTTTTTCAAAATTGAAGTTTAAAAAATTTATGATAAATTCATTTTGAGTAGCATAAACTATGAACTAAACATTATGGTGAGCTTAAAAGTATGACAATAGTAATCTTAAATAGTAACATAAGTATGAATAGTGTAGTTGTAAGTGTTGCTGCTGTGAAGATCCAGTAGTACCAAGGGAAGCGCTTTTGCAGCAGACGTGGGTGCAGCAAAACGGATCCCAAAAACGAGCATGAAGATGCGCACCAGTGGGGTGCCAAATGATGATGCCAGCCGAGAGAAAACCAAGGTGCAAATCCAGATGGACCATGATGGCAGCAGCGATAAAAAAGAAGTAATTAGTTATATTGTTGAATGTATAGGTATAAGGTGCCGTGAATGATGAAGTGTGAATAGTGGTGTGTGTGGGTGGTGTGTGAGGGTGGTGTATGTGGTTGGTGTGTGTGGGTGGTGTGTAGCGATGAATATGTAGCCATGTATAGGGGCGATGAATGCAGTAAAAATGTGTATAGATGAAGTTTAAAGTATGATGTGGTGTGTAAGTTGAAATCCATAACCAGTGTGTATTTCCGAATTTATGTTGAAATGCATCTGTCTTTGTTGATTTAGTATTTAATAGGTTAATTGTATTGCAGTATGTTATAAGGAATTCTAATATTTATGAAATGTGTTATTATGAATTATGGGCTATGTATTAATAAATTATAGTGTGAAAAACAAGAGTTATTTGGCTTAATGTTGGAATTAAAAATGATTACTGATATTTGATAAATGATATTGAATGAAAGTAGTATGTAATAGTTGCGTGTATGTGTATTATAATTTATAAAATTTTTTATATGTGTGATTTATGTGAAAGTGGTTTTAATAAGTTTATATTTACGTTGCAGGAACAGTATCTTATCAGAAGAGTATGTTGAATCCAAGGCCTATTTGATACCAGACATCATTGCAATTAGAGCATGTATGAATCCTATACAAGGAGTGTGATAGTCCATAAAGCCAAGAGAGACAGGACGGCGATTTAAAAGATTCCAGGATCGGAAGGTCCAGAGACGTCGTTGCATTCGAAAGCAGCACGCAAATCCAGCACGAGAACGTAGCAAAATCCGGGCAGCAAGCGAGCATAAAAGCATCATGTCGGGAGACGAGCGGGTACCAGTCCATAATCCAGAGCCAGACATAGGTTGGGCCAATCCATAGCGAGGTAGTTTACCGGCAGTAATTATACAAAATAATTAGTTAGGTGTAAAATAGGAAGTATAGGTGATGGTGAGAAGACGGCATGGTAGTAATAAGTGTGGTGGTAAAGATGAATATGCGTTGTATACTGGTATGATGGTGCGTCATATAATTAAATTTGTTGTATTATTTGATAATTAAATGAAATAATTTGTTATATTGATAGTTTCTAAAAGATTTATGTTATAATATATGAATAGTAATTTATGGCCTGAACGGCGTTTGTGAATTAGTTGCCCATTTGGGCTTTTGTAAACATGATAGAAGTAAGTGTGGTGGTAAAGATGAGTGTGCGTTGTTTACTAATATGATGATATGATGTATGATTAATTATGTGTATTATTTGATAATTTAAATGAAATAAATTGTTATATTGAATGTTCTAAAAAATGTATGTTATAATATTTAAGTAGTAATTTATGGCCTGAACGGCGTTTATGAATTAGTTGCCCACTTGGGCTTTTGTAAATAAATGTAATGCATTAAATAAGCCAGATTAATTAGTGAATTATAAAATAAAATAGAAAGTTATATAGCCAGTTACTTATTTAAATGTGTGTTGTATTAGGATTTATATTATTTATATAATGTGATGTAAATGTAATGAATTTGTTATGTGAATTGTATTAAATAAATGAATTTTGACAGTAATGAAGCGTTGTATATTTACTCTGCATTATCATAGAGTTTATGGAGATAGCATCACACATTGATTAGCTCATTTCCACTACATGACGTGTTCAGGCAGACGATCAATATATATATAAAAAGTGTCCCGCGTTGCGGCACAATCCAGCAGCAAGGTTCCCCACAAGAAAGCATAGGTGGTCGGAATTTGATGTGAATTAAATACTCCAGGGCGCAGATTTATATAAAAGCAGTGACAGCAGGCAGAAAAAGGCCTCAAAACATGAGAGGTGTGCAGCAAAGTTCTTTATTTGGATCCTGAGAAATCGGATTCATTAATATAGTGTTAGTATAAGAGGAGATATATTACCAATTTGACTGGAGGTGTGGGTCAGTGCAGAGCCACGCACACACACCCACGTATTCCCACCAGCACTAGCGAAATACCGCTGAAAGAAGGGCCCGTGTCCAACTTAGACGGCCAACAGCGTGGACAGGCAGCTGAAGCAGCTAACACCTCCAGCCGCCGCGACCAACCAGATAGACACGGTCCCCACAAAAACG